GGCTGTCAGCCCACTTGTGCTCTGGATCCCATCAGCGACGTGGCATTCTTATATCCGTTGGATTTCCAACGGCTAGTTTTTCTAGACCGTTGGATTTCCAACGGTAAAAAAAATTTAAATTTTACTTTTAAAATATACCGTCCGATCACAGATCAACGGTCCACGTTAATTAACTAATTAAAATTTATTAAAACATACAGAAAAAATATTAAAAATACATAAAATTTAAAAAAAAAATTATTTATTTTTTCTATAAATACCTAACTCTCATCTTCCACCTTACACCACATTTCAATATTTTCTACACTTTCTACCAAAGCTTTCATATACTTTTTGTGTGAAAAAAAAATACCAAAAAACTTGTGGTTGAAGAATAAAGGGTATTTGATGAGTTTATGTAATTTCATTTTAATGTGTTTTTTTTTTATAGTTTATTTGATGAGTATGTAATTTTATTTTAGTGTGTATTTTTTTTAAGTTTATTTGAAATTTTATCTGAAATTGGTTAAAAATCTTATCCGAAATAAACTTAAAAAAAAAAAAACACACCAAAAAAATGCGATGGGTGCCAGCGCATTTTTTTAGGGGTGGAGATGCCTTGGCCTATTACTGTTCACTCCAGTCTATTACTATTCATTTGAGTGGATAAATGCGCTGGGTGCTGGCGCAAAGTCCTTAGGGGTGGACTTGCTCTTACCAACTGAACCATTTACAATATATATTAAATAGGTTGTTTGTAGATTGTTTCAAAAGAAAATGTGTGATAATTTGATGTTGGTGCTATTTACACATCTCTATTTACCTTTCACACATCTCTGTTAATTTATGTTATTTGATCATTTTTAAGTTATTTGATCCAACGACCGAAAATTGAGATGGGTCATATGTATAATCAAATGTATCCCCCAGTAGGTCAAGTCTTTCGTTCAACAACAAAGATCAAAGTTAAAATAACAAAAAATCAACTACACTAAAATGTCTTGAGGCTGAAAAACCTCATCAATATCAACTAACAAATACCTCCAAGAAGACAAAATCTTAAGTAAGAATCCATGATCCTGTCATCCGACAAAAGTATGAGATTCTCTGTATCTTAATCTCATTGGATTTCATACTAGTTTCACCCGGCACAAGAGAGTTGTCCTAGTAAGCCTTGTGTTATTTCACTTTGTCCCCATATGCTTTTTACGTTATTTTACCGTGTGATAGATGAACTTTTGGTGGTGAATGTGAAAGTGAAATGCTTTTGGTTTTGGAAAGCAGATGGGTGAAGAAATGTAGCAAGGGAAAAGCATGGGGTAAACCAAATTATTATGGGCAAAGATGAATCTCAAGGGTAAAATCTTTGACATGACAATATTGCTCAACATGGCTACAAAGAAGGACCTACCCCAACCACTATGAACTTACAAGACACATGATCTTCCTTGCTCACACGTAAAGAGGACTACTCCATTTGGTGGGGGGTTTGAATTTCCCTACTTAATTAAAACTCCATCCTTTCAATCAATTATAATTTTTTTTGTCGAAAGATATGATTTTATTGGAATAAAAAGTTTAAATAAGAATAGCCACATTTGCATATTCTGCCAAGATATTGAAAAGAAACTCTGGACCTAACTCAATTATATTGATGGTTATGCAATTTTAGGTTTCAATACAATTGGGTCCATAACACAATAATTCAACACCAATATGGTCTTTATAAAGTGATACTACGTACAACAACTCATAAAAGATTTTATGTACCTTCTTTTAAGTCTCATAAAAGATTTTATGTACCATCTTTTAAGTCTATGTATTTATGTGAAAAAAGTCTTTGATAAATAATGAGAGAATTCTACTAAATTCACAATAAATTGCAACCAGGAGGTTCAAGCTTGAATGCAACGAGCAGGGTACAATGATGTAACCAACTTGATTATATCCAAATCTGCTTCATAATTTTCTCTTGGATAGTACTGATCTCCTTATAATTTTATTATTTTACCTTGTTCTCTCTCACAGTCACAACATCATGCTTAATGTATTGAGTAGTATGTGTAACTAGAATCAGTTACAAAACTTTTAATCAAAAACATAAATGTCATTAAAAATATAATAAACCACAGTTCAATGCTCCCACTTAGTTTTGTTCAAATACTATTTTTCTGAAAAAAATTGCAACCAGATCTAAATACATATATTTCCGTAATTTATTACTACTATTATTTTCTTTACCTTTTTAATTTTTCAAAATCCTTTTCTTTTTCTAATTATGTAAATAAAACATTTAATTTTATTGACACACTTATAATGAAATAATTAATAGTCGTTTACCAATATTTATTTTTTGTCACATATGCATATAATCGTTCGCATGCTTAGTGGAGTAGTCAGTAACTTAAACCCGGCAGAAAATCTGTGACGGGACGCAAATCTTTAATCTTTTATCAACGGTGAAGCATGCAGCGTGCACATGCATATGGCAAATGACAATGACCACCTTTTCTGTTTCCATATGTTTAGTCACCGATTCAGATTATGGGCAGATTTAGGAGCTTAATTGTTTGTTTATGTCAGTCATTAGGAAAAGGACTTAACCAACTAACCACTCCATTTGGACTTAAGAGGGAATGTGTCACCTTCATGCATCTGTCAATTTTGGCACTGTTTTAGTACACGTTTAGCCATAATTAAGTGCCTAAACTTTATACACCAAGGTGGAAATTTTGAATATAACCATTATGTTAAAACTTGTACTAATCCATTTGACAACGTGACCAACATACAAATGATTGATCACGGGAGAAATATTGCATACAAGATTGTTCTAGTTAGGAGATGTGATTGTAATTACCCGATAGTGAATTGGATAATTACAATCACTAGTAATCACGTGCTCATGACATCACTACTCTTCATGTGTAGGAATTTCATTTTCTTCTAGCACATCGTGGTTACTTAGAATCAAAGTTTTATAAGACACTAGGTGCTAATAGGGCGACATACCTAGCGTCTAGGCGGGCTAGGTGAATTTAAGTAAATTTAGTATAAATAAATGTCTATTTATACTAAAAAAAACACATAACTGTATCGGGATACATAAATTGTAAAATAAAATGACATATAGATTATAAAGTATTAGAACACATTGAAAACATAGGGAACAAGTATTTAATGAGTGTTCATCCAAGTATTCAACAAGTCTTTTACATTTTATTGACAAAATAAAATTCAAAATGAAAGCTATCGGTTTTTCAGTCTAAGTAAAAGTCGAGACCTAAGCAGGTGCCTAAGCGGGTCTAGGCACACTTTCTTAATTTTCATGCGCTTAGGCACTAATCATAGCGGTGACCAATTGTCTAGCACCTAGGTAGGGCCTAGGCGGCGTCAGAAGCAGATTTTTAGAACAATGCTTAGAATATATTTCATTTTTTTTTTCTAATACTAGAGGTTATTTAGAATATTATTTGACTCATTACAGTTAAAAATGAATGTCTTCGTTATTGCAAATCATAAATTAATACATACTGAGAGGATTTATTAATCACAAACACAAAAGTATTCGGGTGAAAGAAAAAAAATCATTGGAACACTGCTTGATTGTTACAATTGAAGGCCAATTATTTTCGCTACCTACGCTTATCTCCACCTACTTTATACAACTTGGACGGTTGGACCCAAGAGTCCAAAACTCTCTGCTTTCAAGAATTTATTTGTTAAGGAGACGATGGTAAAACCACGACCAGCTACATCCAGCGTTTGGCAAATTGCAATTCCAACTTCGACGAAGAATGTGAGCAAAATTAATGATGGGGTAACGACTGATGACATCAGCAGACAAAGTGGGGACAGATGTCGTGGCAAGTGGGAGGGACTGCATGGTTTTGTTTGGAATAAAATTCTCTCCGCTTCGATTTCACTTGCTTCCGGTCCCTTTCTATTTAAATCTCACAAGTCACGTTAATATTTTATGTTAACTTTTTTATAAGAAGAGAAAGACAAGAAGGAAAGTAAGAGAGAATGGAAAGGAAGGAGAAAGACAAAGAGAAAAGTGAGAAAAAATGGAAGGGGAGGAGATGTGGAGGAGAAATAATCCTACTCTTTTTTGTTGTCTAAAGACCACGGAAGATTTTTTTATTGTGATAGGAGCCAAGCTCAGTATACCAAATATTATAAAACAAGTAATTGAATATTTGAAAAAAAAAATATTACTAATTCATTTGTATCATGACACTTGTGTACCAAGCCTTGTTTTGGCACACTGAAAATTTATCAAAGGACCACAGAGCTAGAGCTCGTTTGGAAATGCTTTTAAAATGACTGACAATGATTTTGATGAAAATATTTATGAAACTAATCCTTAGTAAAACTCCAAGTAGATCCTAAAAAAGCACTTTAAATACTTCATGCAAAAAACACATGTTTCTTTCAAATAGCATTTATACTCTGGAGTGAAGAAAGGAGGACTGAGGACCGGAGAGTAAAAAAATTTGTTTAATCATTTGCAATGACTAAATCACATAATTAATGATGAATTTTAAGATTAAAATGAACCATTTTTCAATTTAAAGTATCATCATATGATAACACATCATTTTCAATCCTTTCTCTTTCGTTCAAATATGCTAATGACTTAATTGCATGCTAAAATCTATGGGACCAGATGACCCTCTGCAACGGCTACGTTTATTTAATTTGTGATGATTTTGCATTTGAATTATGTCTTAGTCTACTTAATTACAAAAGGTCATGAAAAAAATAGTGCATTCATTTTCAACTACTTTGAAGCATCATTGGAACCAAATCTACTTATTAGCATCCACTCCACATTAATTCCACTTTGATAATATAGTGCTGCAAAGTAAGAATACGGAATAAATAACTCTTGAGAAAATTTGTGTGTTAGACATTCACACCGTCAAATAGCGTTACTAATCTACATGTGGTAATACGTGAGTGGACGTGTAAGCGATGGATAAAGCATAAGAAGTAAAGAGAAGAGAGAGACGAAGAGATATTAGAAGGAGAAGTCAGAGCATCTATTCTTCTCAATATTCACAACAATGTATGTTAACGTATTACATATTGACCTTAAGTGGAGAGACACGATTAACAATATTCAGAACAAGTCGTTAAATCATACGATTTTTTCTTAATGCCATCAAAGTAAGATGATATTACAATATCAGATTCATATTAATTTACCTACCACATCTCTAATGGTGGTAGGACTCACACAAGAGTTCCACATGAGAGTTGAGACTCCCACGTGAACCTTACATGTCTGAGAGATGTGTTTACCTACTCATGCATTGAAGAACAATATCAACTTGCCTCTGCCTAAAGTCTTGCAAATCTAACATTTTCTCAAGTGGAAACAATGTGAAGTTGCTAAGTCCCTCTGCTCAAGTAACTTGCCCATCACTTAATCTCTAATGATTCTCTACACAGTATACGACACGAAAAATACATTTAATCTACGGTGCTGGATCATTTCGTAAGATTCGGAAAAGGCAGAAGTGTGACTCATGGAATCAATAACATGTACCTGTTTATAATGCTGCAATCTTGCAGCGATAAAAGAAATCCGTGCCCCAAAACATGAACTAGCATAACCGCTGCTGTCATACATTGTAATGTAGCCATTGACGAAAACTTACTTTACTATCAAGAATATTGACATCGCTATCAGCAAAGTTTGTCTCTCTTTCGTTACTTTCATCCCAGCTTGGCTTATAAAGCAGCAATGGCCATGTCTTCTCTCTGTCCAATGGAATTTGGAGGCAAAAGGCTGAGCTGTCTTCATGGACATTAACATTATCTTCAACGAAATGAGTAAGACTTCTTGTATGACTTGAGTCATCTAAGCATCTTTCGTACTTATCATCATGGTAAGTAAGAAGGCGGGAAGATAAGTTTTCCTGTTCAGGAAATTGTAGAGCTAGACAAGTTGATGAATCATGCTCTCTCGAGGAACCACTTAACGGAAGGTAGTTCCATCCTAAATCAGAATCAAGTCCAGAGGAAAGGAAAGATTCGGTATTAGGAAGATAGTACCCCTCATTGATAATTTTGCTCGAAAACCAATGGTCGTTTTGGAGAGATAATGTGGTGCTTCCAACTTCATATGCAGTGTCATTAATGCAGTCTTCAGCTAGATTAATAAAGTTCGGTATACATGATGACAAGGTTAACGGAATTTGCTGGAAACCTGATTGTAAATCGCCTTTGTCTTCAAGACAACGCCTTACAACTTCATTGTTGTAATAACTGGCAAAGGATGCGGATTGGTGTTCAGTTCTATATGTTGATAAGTTAGATAAGCTTCTATCTTCTTCTGTACTGTCAAAATCCCAACCCAGCATAGGAACACATAGCTCTCTGTCGACCAAATATTCATTTGGCTGACAGAATACATCCGTCTCTTTGGCATGGCCAGACGTCACCAACCCATATTCTTCGAATGGAAGAAGAGAATGTGAATGACTCTCAGTGCATGAAATTGCAGTACCTTCTAATAATTCATGGTCAGGTTCCCATACTCTGTACTGAAGATGGTTCTTGTAAGCATAACTAGTTGGAGAATCGGAACATAAAATCCTCTCTCTTGATCTCTTTGACCAGCAAGATGATTCAGAATCATGCAAACAAGGGCTAAATTCAAGTTCCATAAACTTTCTAGCAGGTGTCGAATGAAGTTTCATGAAGTGAATATCTGACTCATAAGATGGAAGTGTCATAGACTTGTCATTGGTGCCCGGTTGCCTAAGCTTTGGATCCTTAAATTCCTGCAAGAGCAAGTATTTTTCTTACCAATTGGAAACCATGAACAGGTGTAAATCCAATAATCCATACAAAAAGCAAATAGATGATACATTGGTCTCATTGCACTTGGGGATCAGCCGACTGAGGAGCACAGAAACAAAATCGTACCTGAGATAATATTATACATCCTTAATAGGGGACGTAAAGATAATGTAAAAACTTATTGATCATAGATTCATGATATGTCTAACCCCTTTGAGCAGTGTTCATCAATTTCAGGAAATGAGGTCTCTGCCACCCACTGGTGTAGTTTCTGTCTCTTCCGATCAAAAACGTCTGCACGCCTGTTTTGAGTTTCTGTCTCTCCAAAACAAGTTAAGTTTCCGGCATGATTCAAAATAACTTAATAGTGTGAAACCAAGATACTGAAACATTCTCAGGTTTAACTAATCAGAACTGCAGCTACAAAAATTAAAAGTCAAAGTAATACATAATACGATGGTATTGGTCAAAGAGACAACTGGCTAGAAGGAAATTTTGGACTAGAAAGCTTGTATTAATTTATCAGATTCATATTTCCTTTTCCTCTCTATCTCCTTGGTCACCAAATCAGCATAACAAAGAAAAAATGTAGAGATTTCACATACGAATTACCTTTACTTCTCAAGGAATTTTCATATTCCTCCACCATATTGTTCTGTCTCCTATGTGCGTTCTCCAAGGTTGCACAAGTTCTCTTGATATTTAGTTCTGCACATAAACGGAAGTTACACTTGTAACTTCGAGGTTGAAGTACGCGGTTTCAGGCTTAACTTCACAAAATATGCATATCAGACATTTCCCTTTATAGTTGATGCAGTACAAATAGGCATACAGGACACAGGTTTCTGCATTAAATTTTTACCTACGCCTCTTTACATTGAAAATATGAGCTTTTGATGCACTACCAAGTACCAAGTCCAAGTGGTAGGAGAAATGAATGAGCCAACTTACCTGGTGTAGCATTTTCGTTGAGAAATGAAGACCTCGTGTCCTCTCTCTTATTCCGGACCACATTGATCCTCTCTGTACAGCAGGTAATTCGTCAAACACCAACCGAGCAAATTTAGATGGCTAGAACCATAGTACACTGGTTTCAGAGACTTCAGAGTTGAAAGATTACCTCTGGAACAGTCCCTGGACTCGGAATTCTTTCTTTGGTCGGCCTCTTCACGGAGAGAACAAGACTGCGCTTTACGGCCTGCACCTTCCTTCAATTTCTTGAAGAAGGCGTACTCGGAAGTCTTGGCATTATCAGCTGATTCACATACTTTGCATCAGATTATTAACTTTTCAAACAAACCTCAACTAACCCATAACAATTTACGAAAAAAGGCGAAAACTTGAAAGATGTAACATTTTGAAAATAGCATTACCAAATTCGCATCTTGGGGGTCTCTGATTTTCATCGTCCTGTGAATCTGTAAATGTGACTCTTTTCTTGCAGCTGGTATCTACAAGCAGAAGCAAAATCGAAACACGAGCATCATCGAATTTGAACAATTGAGCGCTCTGAGGGTAAAAAATTTTAAACAATTTCGAAACTATTTGGGTGATTGATAAATTGGGTTATGGAATCGGAACGAACCTGTTGTTCTTGGGGGCGTTGCGATGGGGAATCGGGAATCGGAGCTCCGAATCCCATGAAAACCTCCACGATGCGATGGAATGTGGATTTGAAGCGGATCTTTGTGGTTGGAATCGGAAATCTTACGCTTCATTGTGCCCTAACGAAAATTGAGAAGTCCATTGATGAGTTAAATTTAAACCCTAGCTTTTGGTATTTTTGTGCGTTTGTGGAATTGAAACGTTTTCGTTGCAATGGCGGTTCCGAGTGGACCTACGAGTACGAGCATTTAGGCGCCAAATCGGCACGTGATGGTGCTTTTCATATTTTATTTTTCAAAAATTAATTTTTTCCTTTGAAGCAAAGTTTTTTTTTTTTTTTTTTTTTTTTGCCCTTTTCCTTTTCTGTCTTGTGAGCAGTGAAACAAGCTCAAGTAATGTTTGTTTCTTATGAAAGAGAAATTAAGAATTTCAAATTAAGCAATTGTATTTGAGTTTTACCCTAAATTTTTAACTTATACGCTATATAATTTTTCAAAAATAAAATATTAAATTTTTGGACGATTCATCTTCTAAATTAAAGCGAACTGTTATAACCATGCAGTAGGATGCGAAACTTGCGAAATTTCGCACTGACAAGATAAGAGTTTAGAATTATGCTTGGATGAAGTGTTGGTCGCGGATGGAAGCACTCCAAGCTTTGGAAACATACATGTATCGAGTCAGATCCTTGGGTTCTAGGCTTGTAGCATTACAAAGATGTTAAAGAGCAACTCCGATGGAGGAGGTCTGACATTGTACTTGTACTTGAAGCAGCAGCAAAGCAATAAAATCAATTGTTTTACTAGGTTTAGGGAAACATACAACCTAACACAAATCTAATCGTTGTGAAAAGAAACATAACTGATAGCATAAGCCAGGATGATTTGTATTGACAGATTGATCAAGACTTTACACGGACTAGACTGCTTGGAACCCAAGGCATCGATCCTCTATTCACAATTCAAAAAAAATATCAGTCGAAAAATAATGGACATTAAGGTAATTTGCACAAAAATCATGAACATTATGGCAATTTCACAAGAAGAAAACTGATTTAAATTGCCAATGCCGATTCCAATGCCAGTGCTAGTGCCAGTGCCAGTGCAAACTTCCAATTATAATCTCAAGGCTTCCAAAAACAAGGTAAAATTCTGTATTCTTAATAGGGTTTGCAAAAAACAAATCAAAGTCTGTAAACTAAGAAACTAATGTTGTTACCATAGTTCGATGATATCAGTTGAAAAAAAAGAAATACAATATTACACAGATCAATAAGCCTAATCTAAAGAAACAAAGGAGCATTACGTTCGGATCTTTTTTTGTTGCCTTGACTACCATATATATGAGACGGAACACCTTCTTCAATATTGAAAGTTTCTTCTTCTTAGGCCGAACACACTTGTTGCCGCCTCTCCCAACATTTACAGGATTACCGTCAAGAAGAACACAAAGGCTCCCCGAGCCCCGACCTTCACAAACAATTACTTCAAACTCATCAGGCTTACGACAAAATTCAACTTGTTTCTCTCTCTTTTTCTCTAAATCAATCCAAAAAAAAAACTGCTCGCAGTCCATCTCAAAAAGTACCAAAGGTTCTTGGGAAATACCAAAGGTTTGATGTGGGAGTCAAAGTTCATGTAAGGCACAACAGACTTCTTGACAGAACAAAGAAGGGTCCAAGATCCCGTCACTCCATATTCCTTCATAATCCAAACATCAATTTGACAGCCTGGAACCTCAAAATTGTGATGACAAATACATAGATAGCCTCCCAGCAAACCCAAATAAATCTCATCCTCGTCCCCATGAACTGGGATGGGAAACTCGAGATATTTCTCACTTGCAGGATCAAGAGTTGGAATCATGCATGGACGATCGTCATCTAAATGGCAATCCATCTTCCAGCTTAAGGCACTGTTCAAACACACGGCAACTGATTGAAATGGAGGAAGTCGAAAGCCATCGCAAGGAGGCATGCTTTGGATCCCTTCCACGTCTTGGATTTTAGGCTATAAACGTTCAGTTCGTAACTAGCAACAATCCTATCCTCATATACACAATTTCCACAAACAGATATAGTGGATGACCGTTGATCCATGCTAAACTCCACAACTTCCACAAGTTTGTAGTCACCATTAGCTAAATCATAGTGCCCTTGTTTCTTCAGTTTGTAGTTCATCTCCGATGGCTGCTGGAGGCTCGGCTCGGAGCTGGTTGTGCAAAGAATCTTCTTGCACATTCAGTATCAAACCCAACCACAACTACTATACATTCGGTATCAAACCTATTCACATTACCTACATATTCTGTATCAAACTCATCCACATTGTCTACAAACATAAGACTCAAATATAATAATTTTCAAGTTAAAAATCAAATTTTTACATAAATAACATTAAATTAGAAAAATGATGGTTGACCCAAAAAAAAAAAAAAACTGTTGAGAGTAAAATAGGCATGAAACAAAATGAAAAATGATAACCCTAGCTATTAATTGACCTTATAATCTCACCATGGTAGTTTTAATATATAAGAAGATAGTCAAAGGATGTTTGGGTTTTAGTTTCTAAAAAGAAAAAAAAAAGGATGTTTGGGGTTTTCCTAAAATATTCCAGAACAAACGCAATTGGTAGTCACTTAATGTAAAATTACAAACAATCCCCACGGGTTAGGGGGTAGACCAGGGACGAGAGAGGGGAGAGAAACAAATTAGCGGGTTTTGAAATAACTGGTTTCTTCTTTTTAAGAGAGAGCTTGTGATCTATTTTCAAATTTGAGCTCGGATTGCTTCCCTGCTTAAAGCTCCCTACTTCCTTCAATGCATTCCTTCCCCGCTTAGAGCTCCCTACTTCCTTCGGTGCTTTCCTTCCCTCCTTAGAGCTCCCTACTTTCTTCGGTGCATTGCTTCCCCGCTTAGAGCTCGCTACTTTCTTCGGTGGACTGAAATCCTGCACAAGAACATGATGGATAAATACATGTAATTACAAGTAAGAAAAAAATAAATAATCCAAACAATCTGCCATATGCAGTGGGAAATAAGATCCCTTCTTAAAGAAGATGAATAAATTGTTTTCAAATCTTTAATGTTTTTAGATTTCAAAAAGTCTTTAAAATTCAAGTGTTTAGTGGAGCTGTCGATTATTATCTGCGAAACAAAATTCACAGGATGAACATGATACAACTGAAAGACACTCGTCGATGGATGAAAGCGTAAGTCCTCGTTTGTTGATTGGCTTGGATAGGATAACACACTACATTCAATGAATGCAAAATGGATGTCTACTTGCATTTTTTGTCCAAATGAGGTAGAAGGTGGATTAGCTATGAAGAAAACTAATCCCTCATCCCCACAAAAAATGTAGGAATGGAAGGGATAAGTTTTCTTCACGGTTAATAAATTTTCCTATACAAAGCTAGACAACAAACGAGGCCTGAAGGTTCAACTCATCAACTAATGTTAGGGGCAAATGATAGAGACTAAACCCACACCTTACTGTTTAAACACATTTATAGTTCTTAGTTAATTTATAATCAAAGCTGTTCTCTCATACATCAAAATAGTCCTCCTAAGTAACCTGTTTTAAAGAAAATAATCATAGCACAAAAAGTGGGTTGATTTGATGATGTCCTTGTATCAAAAGGCAATCATATATAGAACAAATAAGTAGATTAAATCGTCAAGTTCCTATTCATCATTTTCTCATGTCGAAAAAGAATAGGATTCCAGGCATTGAAACCCACAGTTCAGCTAGATATATGCATGATAGTTGATAGAAAAATAAAAACCAAAACTAATTTAAGTAGCTCAAACTCACCGGTGAGTAGATGGAAGCTTCTCTAGCTATAGCATAGTGCACATACCGCATCATCCCATTATAGGTACAAAATTCGTATGCTGTTGCAATACAGACGAAGCACTACAAGAGCCAGCCATAAATTGAAAAGTATCAGTCCTAAATTTGTTTATGTTTCAACTAGTATTTCTTAATTTATTGTCGAGACTTGCTAGCATTACTTAATTTAATTCTTTCGCACTTAGTACTATATTCATGGTAGCATGGATGCCTTTGAGCTTGTTAAAAGCCAAACGATCTAATAAATATGGTTACAAGTGAGCCAAATATTCAGATCATAAAAAACAGGGAAAGAAGAAAGAGTTGAAGCAAATTTCAGGGAAGTTGATCATTTAATATTTAAGGCTCAAGATTTTGCAAAAAGGGAAAGTAGAGTATCATATACCTGCCCTGCTAGCAGTTTTGTTCACAGCTTAAAAAATATTACATATGTTTCAGAAAAGTATATTTGAACTGCTTCAATTGTTAGGGTTTTACACGTTATTTTGTTTCTCTTCTAGCAGATCAACTCTTTTATGTAATTAAATCAAAATTTCCATTAGGGTTTAATAAGGCTTTTTAATGAAATTTCACTAAAAAAAACACTGGTGCAGAAAAATGGTAGACAAATGACAGCTACAAATAATCGAGATAGGCTCAGAACTATTGTACATCAATGACAAATCTAGGATTTTCCTCAATCTCGAACAGTTCATGAATAAGAAAAGGTAATATTAAACCTACAAACAGGGAGTATTAAGTACACAAATGGTAAAATTACAACCTATTTATACGTTAAAACAGTTAGGGAACAAGAAGTTTCCGTTTGTAATAAGCTATTTTCCAAAACCGCCAAAAATCTTGTGTCGCTTATTGGCAACACGTATCCAATATTAATTAAGCTCCTCAAATTTGACGGTTAAAGTATTCAACACGTGCAACCATTTGGTAAACAATATTCCTTACACTCATCTTAAAAATATTATGAAAAAACTGAACTGAATGGTCAAAATTATGCACAGGGTTTGCGACATTCCTTAGATTCATTTTACATGCGTTACGATATTCCTTAGATTCATCTACGGAAAAGGACATTCCTTAGATTTCATCTACGGAAAAAGACATTCCTTAGATTCATCTTAAATGCGTTACGACAAAACTGAACTAAATGTTCAGCGATCATGTACCACATAGTACTAAATATATAATAGCTGCATGTAATTCAACAGGTGAAGCTACTCGAAAACAATTTTACTTAGATTCATCAAAAACAGGTCACGAGGAAGCTGAACAGGATGTTCAGCGAACTTGTATCACGTACTGTCAAATATATGTTTTCAACATTAACCGATCCCACAAGATCTAGTATCCGACCACATATCTCATAGATCACTAGTATCTGTGCAAGTCCACGAGTTCTAACTTATGAACACTATAATAATGAGCAACTCAATCTCAAGATTCTCCAACTTATATAACCTAATCCGTATCAATGGGTAAGGAGATGATCATGCTTTATGGTATCAAACTTTCTACGCTTTATCGAAATAAAGATCAAAACAATTCCATGCAGCCCAAATAATAAAAAATTTGTATTCTAAGTCGAGCATAAACACTGAAAATACTATCATCTAAGTCAATTAAACGATTTAACAACACTGGAAAACCTTTTTCTAAGAAAGAATAATGAAAGCTTCAGATCTGCACCTCGAATTATCAAAACAGCGGTTCAAATACGATCATGTAATCGAGTAAAAGTCTATTTTCCATGCATTACTCAATCAACATAAAGAAACTCACAGTAACATCACTAAAAATTAAAAAGATAATAACCATAAAAACACAATAAAATTCGAACCCAAATCTTCAAAATTTACAAAGATGGTGAAAAGGGTATAGAATTTGGAGTACCTCGACCTCAGTCCCATCACCCTCAACCTTCTTCTGCATCACCCAGCCCTCTGGAATCGCATACTTAGTCCTCGGTGGTGCCAATGCTCAGGATAAGACCAACCCAACAAACTGCACACTCTCTGCAGCTCGACAACAACAAAAAGAGGGGCGTTTTATCCTTTTGGGTTCGATACGAACAAGGTGGCAAGCATGGTAAGCGAGGCGAGAAGAGGAGAGAGCTCGGTTGGCAAACACGTGGCGCCATTTTCTGGAGAGGATGAACGAGACAGTAACGTAATAAAGATGACGAGGAAGAATCTTATCTGGGATTTAGCTGGTTCTTGAGAGAGAGATAGAGAGGGAGCTGCGTGTTATCTTTGAGGGGTAGAGACGAGAGAGAGAAACGCAGAGCGAGCCAAAATTAGATTTTCCAAAGAAGCTGCCGTTACACTGATTTAATATTGGCGATGTTTGAAAGTGCTGTGTTAAACGGGCCAGGCCTATATGGTTGGGCCATTGGAAGAGTTAAGAGGCTAGACTAATGAATATCCTTCAAATAAACTTTGAATTTGTTTAACTCTTAATTTAACAAAATTTATCGTTTAAAAAAAACATGTAAATCTAAATCGTAGAAATGTTCCCTTTTTAGGAATTTTGTCAAGTAGATATTTGATTAAAACTATTATTAATATTTAATTAATCTATCATCATTATTTAATAAATTTTTTTTTTATAGAAAAACTAGAAAACTGCTCACTCAAACTTTTCTTATTGTGAGTCCTGTATATCAAAATTAGAAAATGCTCGGTCAATCTTTTCATTGTTGATCTTTTCATAATGTTCATTAAACCCGAATCACAATCTTAGATTGCTTAATGTTAAAAGTTTGATTATTAGGTGTAAGTTTATTGATAAATTGTAGTTTTATTGTTAATTTCATCTTGTACATGATAGTATTTATATAATAAAATAAAAAAGAGAAAAATTCACATTTAAAGTTTTCTTAAGTCCTATTTTCTTCATAGTCTTTGTTTCCATTTTTGTTTTTGAAGAGCAACGATAGCATTAGTTTAAAAGAGGTTGATTACAACTCACAACACAGAGAAGGACAATAGGTCCGCCCCTCACAAAAACATCCAACCATTACATTCTGGCAGAAAGAGATCAGACAGTAGGTCTGGCAGTTCCTCGAACCAAGACCGAAAACACTCACCATGCATAACAAAATTAGCAAGTCGGCATGCGCCAACAGGATATATATATATAATGAGGATGAATGCTACGGACAATTACCTAAAAATAATTTTTTTTCTTCCATAGTAGCTTTGGTTTTTTAATCATGTTTTGGTAAAACTTAACAGTTTGGAACATTTACATGAATAAAGCATATTTTTCAGTTTATGAATTATTTTTTTACTAAATAGCCAAAATAGTCATTGAGATTTGCATAATCAATAAAAATGGTTTCTGAGATTGAAAATCAATAGAAATGCTTCATGAGATTGTCCACTATCCATGATTTTGGTCATTCCATTAAAAACTCTTTAAGCAATTTTCAAAGCTTCGTAACTCAATCGTTTCTTAACCAAATTCGACCCATAATATATCAAAATGAAGATAGGAAAGTGTAGAACAAGATTATACCTATTTGGAATCCCAATAATTGCCGAAGATGGCCGGAAAATAGTCTAAAAGGTGACTGGTCCGCAGGAAAATTGAAAAACTTACCGGAAATTGAGTAAATTTTAAACGTTCATAAATTCTTCAATACTCAACGAAATCGAGTAATTCAAAAATGAAAATCATACTTCTCGACGAGAGAAAGATAATGGTACATTTCTTAACGGCTAACTCGATGTGGTTTGGCCGGAAAATGGCTCGAAAGTGGCTAACCATCTTGTTCTACACTTTCTTATCTTCATTTTGATATATTATGGATCGAATTTGGCTAAGAAACGATTAAGTTACGAAGCTTTGAAAATTGGCCAAAGAGTTTTTAACGGAATGACCAAAATCATAGATTGTGGACAATCTCATGAACTATTTCTATTGATTTTCAATCTCAGATACCATTTCTATTGATTATGCAAATCTCATAAATCATTTTGACTATTTAGCCTTATTTTTTAGATATTTTTTCTGAAATTCAATTTCATTATTATTTAGAAGAATTTCACGGGAAGAAAAAGAAAGATATTTGTTTGTCCAATCGGCAAGTCCACACGCAAATATGACATGTAATCACATATTATCCAAACAAAAAGGATATGGTGGACAGGTGTCATCACCCTAGTGGAGGCAACGATTTATCTCGCGTTGCCAGGATCAGATAATTTTGTCTTCCTCAGTAGCATTACAACTCAGTTCATTCAAAGCCTCTATAGTCTTAATTTTATATCCATTAACTTCTGCCACAATCTCAGCACAAGCACAGAGAGAGCTAGAGTGACCAACAGCAGCACAGAAATCTCACACATGGCTAGCTGTGGCATGGCATCAGCTGCCTCAGGCTTTGTGGTAGCACCAAACGTTGCAACCACCAACTCAGGCTCAGCTTCCAGCCGGAGTAGCATGCTGTTTTTCCCTTCAAAACCCAACACCAACACCAGAAGCAATGCCAGGTTTGTGATCAGGGCAGCTGAAGAAGCCGCTGCGCCTCCGGCCGCCACCACGACTGCACCAGAGGGGGCAGCTACCCCTAAGCCTAAGCCACCACCAATTGGACCCAAGAGAGGCACTAAGGTTAGTTCATGTGAAAAAATAATAGAAATAAATCAGTGTTATTTTTCAAGTATTGTTGTGAGTAAATTGTCAATAGTTTTGTAGAATTGCTGAATAGAAAAATCAAAACCAAATTACCTAGAAAAAAAAGTAGGGATTTAAAAAACACTAATTGTGAATTTGAAAGGCTTGTAGCTGAAATCATTAAAGGTGTGATCCTCGCACTTGAGATCCTTTGTTTAAATTGTCACTCCTCCAATATTACATTAAACAAAATATTTCGCTAAAAACCTCTCCCAGACCCTGCGTAAAGCGGGAGTCTTGTGCACTGGGTACGACCTTATATCGCTAAAAACTTGTAAATGTTGAGAGTTATCCCACATATGTGAGAGACAAAGTTTGCTATGTACTTATATGATCTTGAACTACTCCTTATATTGCCAGTTAGTTTTATGGTGAAACTTCAATTTCATCGTAGTATTAGAGCGGGTTGTCTTTGTGTGAAGCCAAATGACCACACACTCTCCACGTCACCCAGTTGTTGTTCACGTGTAGGCTTGAAAATACGCCAGTCCGAGGTACAAGTGTTCGTTAGTCTAATTTGATAGAAATAGTGCAACTCAGGTCGAGCCACAGGAGACCTTATTATATGTTCTTGAGTATGAATTTTTCACAAATGGTTTTGTGTTTAGTTTTAATATTTGCAGAAATATCTTAGGACCCCAATTTAATACACAACAAATTGGCTCATTTATTAATCTGCTATTAGAACAAGAAGAATTGAATTGAAGAGGAATATTAAAACGTTGATCAGTTTGACTATTTCACTTGGCTCCATATTGTTTTTTCTTCCCTTCTGAATCATAACTCTATACTTTCTTTCACAGGTGAAGATTCTTAGGAGGGAATCCTACTGGTTCAAAGGCATTGGATCTGTTGTGGCTGTGGATCAGGTCTGACGGCTCTCTCTCTCTCAATAAAAATGAACTTGATAAAGAAAATGGAGTACTTAAATGTGGATATCTGTTTTGCAGGATCCGAATACCCGTTACCCTGTCGTGGTCCGATTCAACAAAGTTAACTATGCCAATGTGTCCACAAATAACTATGCTTTGGACGAGATTGAAGAAGTTAAATGAGTTTGTAGTAGCACTGTAAATTGTAATCTTAATTAAATTGTCCTTCTCTCAGTTTCTTCCTTACTTGTTGGTGCCCTTTATTTGTGTATCATACTCTAAATTTCTTCTTCCACCTTTTCTTAGTTATTTTCAATCACTGCTTCCTCAAAACACGAATAGATCGTTATAAACTCATAGTATATACCGTATTTATACACCGGATTCATATGCCGGTTTCATGCATCTATACGCTGTAAATTATCCTATACTGGTTTCATACACCGGAGCCGTACACTGCTTCTCTCTTTGTCACTGTATCTTTATCTTACGATATGGAGGGAAACATTAATAGGTGTTGGTTACATCCCGGAGTTGGGCACCATATTTCTAATTTTTTGTTTTAACTTATTTGTATTTTAGTTTGTTGTGCAAATTTCATCCCGATGTTAAATGGTGAGGGGAAATGCATGAAAGGAAAAGCATAACGTGCCTTGCATTGATCCCAAATAGAATATCGTAAAAAATTGGAAAAAAAAAGAATGAACACATCTGGTTTCGAACACGACACCGTCTTTTTAAGTAAGCAGTGAAACACCACCGCTCCTGCCTAAAGTTCTTGTTGATTTAACCAAGGTTTCAAAATTTATATGCTTATGGAAATATATATATGAATATACTACCCTATCAATTTTTGGTGCCCCTCGAGTTTTTGAGGCCCTGGATGGTCGTCCTGCTAGCCCTAAGCCAGGGCCGGCCCTGGGTGTGTAAAGAGAGAAAAGGTTGTGCGGAAGTAACTTCCCTTTTCCATTATCCAGATAGAAGTCCAGAGCAGTTCAAAAGATGATTTCCAGTTCCCAATAGGCACAGGCAGGACCTGTTTATTCATGCATAAGTGTTTAAGTACTTTACGTCTCAGAATCTGCAAACCCTTGTTGGCACCAGAGAAGGTATGTTTTACGTGTTTGGTCGAAACGAAAAACCATGTGGTTAAGCACCCAATAATACAAGAGAGTTAGCAGATACCCCAAATGTTGATATGCATGCCTTTAAATGCACATAAAATCACAGTATTCTCAACAAATTGCAGAGTCATGACAAGTAATCCAACTAGAATTTAACCTATACAAACAAAAAAATATTTTCTTAAACTCTTCCATCAAACCCGTCGAGAAGACCAGACCACATTCCCTTGACAGGTGGTAACTGTGCAACGAAAGCATTCCAAGGTGGGTAACCAACGCCACTGCCACGAACACGACCATCCAGGCGAAGAGATATATATCTGCAAACAAAGAAAATGATGTAGAATTACTGACGAAGTGATCTTAATTATGTTAATTTACGCAAGAAAATAAACTCATCGGTTAAGAGCACAAATTATACAAACAGTCGTAATATAATAGATTAGGCATAAGGCAATTTGCCTAGTGGAATTAAGGACAGAAGCAATCATGGAAGAAATGCTTACACGGGAGAGTCAGAGGTGACACCGGCCAGCTTCTTTTGTTCGTCCAACCAGCTGCAATTTCCAACGAAAAAATGAGCGTGTCTGAAGAGAGAATAAGAACTTGAAAATGATTAAATCATTTTGTTTTGCAAAAGGTTTACTTACTTGGTCCATTCAGTAACATAAATTGGAGTTAGCTGCCAGAGTCTTTTCCTCTTTGTAGTAATATCCTTAGCCTCTTCACTTTCTTCAAACTCAAAACTAGGCATGTTTCCATCCGTAGCCAAGGGCACAACAAGCACTCCTCTTTCCACAAGCCCTTCGGTGAAAGGCTCACTTCGGTTGAACGATTCTGTGATGAACGATGCAGGGCCAGCGCATATTACAAGCCGAGCAATCCCTCTCAAAGAGCTAACAGGAATGACCGTCTTTTCAGAAACACGAAGCTTGAGATTTGAAAGATTTTCCTCTCGAGAGAGCCTGGCAATCTGTGCATTCTTGGCCTTGTTCTCCCTCAAATACAAGAATGCAAAGAGAGACACTGCTCCAAGGTCTATGCCAAGACCCTTTGCAATTTCGGGGGCGTCGAGTGCTCTTGATGGATTTGTTAGTGCTGCAATTAACTGTGTGGTTGCTATTAATCCTCCTAAACCACCACTTGCAATGAAAGCAAGATAGAAAAACATTCGAACGGAGCGAAAGGGAGTGAGAACTTCACTCCTAATCCTGGCTGTGGAACTGAGGAACAAACAAACCTATGATTACAAGGAAGCCTAATGTGTAAAATAGAAGCTGATATAGCACAAGGCATTGGAATGCGAAGAACCCAAGTCAGCAAAGATGTTTGGAAATTTGAAAGAACCCCATTACTACTCAATGCACTTCAATTTAGAACCAGTTCCATTCACAGTACAAATAGATAGAATTTATCAATCATCCATCTATTTGTACTGTGAATGGAACTGGTTCTAAATTGAAGTACATAGAGTAGTAATGTTTTCTTGGACAATTTAAGCTTCCACCATAGCTCCCCAAAATATGCGCATATAAAACCGGTTATAAACTTTTAATCGAAAGTAGAATTGAGAGGATACTAAATAAATATAACGGGACACTAAACTTTGTTATCTATACGGTTTATTGCCTGTTTAGTATTTCTAACTTTATTTTTAAATAGAAAGTTCGTAACCGATTCTAAATGTGCAGACTTTTCTTAAACCAATCATGCAAAACAATCATTCTCAAAATACTGGAAAAGGGAAGACCTGATTTCAGTAGAAGAAGTTTGCTTATCAGTTGCAAAGCATGTGATGGTTGAAGACTTGTGCTTTGAGGTCTGCAGAGTGAGAAATTGTGCATTGCTACAAGAGAATGACCAGAGGGTGGTTCTGATTCCACTGCTGAGTTTGTAGTGAGTGTGATTTGGAGGTTTGAGAATGTAGAAGGGAGAATTTGCCACAGAAGCCATGGCCACCGCTTGAGTTCAGAGTTCTTTTGTTGCTTTTTAGAGTTTCGCAGTGGTTTCTTGGGAGGCCATATTTGGATGAACGCAAAACTGCCACCTCCCACAACCCAAATGGTGGTAATAAAAGCCAGTCTTATTTTCTCTCTTGATTTTTCCTTTTTTTATTTTTGTTTCTGAGGGACCAAAAAAGCCTCTTCGTTAGCTAAAATTACGATACAGCGGTATTTCCTTTTACTCGTAAGTAAGTAGAAGATGTTAAGTTTGATTTAAATTTGAATTATATTATTGTTAGCTTATTGTGAGGTTAAACATATCCCCTCCCCACTAATGTAGATAATATTATTTGTTAAAAAAAATACACTGTTTAGTTTCATCATAAGGTGTGTTTGTTTGAGCTCACTGAATTTCATTAAACTGGATTGGACTACTTATTAAGTGTTGTATAGTGTTTGTTAGACATAAGGATAAAGTTTAATAATCGCTCCGACTAATCCCTTCGCTAACAGGTCTTAGCGAGGAACCCCAATTATCACAGGATTGCTAAGCCCGTCTTCAAGAGCGTTGCTCGGTCGTCCTCCTCGCTGTTCCTCCTTGCTCGTCCTGCTCCTGCTTGTCCTCGTCTTGCTTCTAGTTTGGTAAATTCCAAATCCGACGATCTATTTCTTCGATTTTGTTTTGTAAATCGTGAAATTATTACTGGGTTCTCATCGATTTTGTTGTTTTGGGTTCGAAATCTATGAAATTGTTACTGGGTTCTGATTGGTTTCTCATATAATCCTTCTAGCTTCAAGTTTTGATTCCAAGTTATGGACGAAATGCGATGGGGGAGTTGTTATGCTTAGATATACCTTCTTTTAATTTCAAGAAATCAAAAATCAGTTATGAAGTCGATGTTCGGTCCTTTGATTTTTTGCCATCGGTTGAGTGAATTTTCCAGCCCCTTTGCCATCTATTGGTTTGAAAATGAAAATTACATTCTGAATATGAGCAGTCAAATTTGCCAATCCAATCTTATATTTTAAGCTCTTACATCCAATCTTTGTTCATGTTTCGTATCAGTGTCGTTAGTTGGTCATTGTTCTGTGAAGCATTGATGTTTATGTTTTATCCACTTCCGTGCAAAATGTTGCCCAAACAATGACGGTGGTTGAATTTATTTTGGATGGTTTCGTCTGTGTAGGTGCTATTGTATTCTGCACGAATAGAATATATTGGGAGCTATTTTTAGCATCTGGGACGAACTCAAGACGGCAAAAACATGGGACGAAGTTGAGCAAATGGTGTTGGGAGAGTTGAATAATTGCTAAGGTTTCCCTGGATTATCTTCCACTTCGCATTTACTGTTGCTGGTTTATTGTTTTATCACTTCATAAGGTCCAAATAATGCGTACAATCATGATACTAATGTAACCCATTTTTATATATGATCAAACTACAAGTTTCATGTTTACTTTTTTATGTCCAACATTTTTTTACCTATCTTTTTCTGTCAAATATGTATTGAGTATTTTGTCTTCCCTCTCTATGTGAGTTTTGGGATCTGCATAAGTGGAGACAACTCCCGCTAAACCGAAGGTTAGTTGGTGTTATCTTTCACATGCTCAAGGTACCATTGAAACTGACTTTTTGATGCCTCCAGTGGGAGAACCTTGGGACTTTGTCAAGGGAGGTGACAGGTGGGGTTCCGGTTCAAAGTCAGAGAACGAGGATGGCGAGATTGATGGAGCTGGTATGTCTCTAGTTGTGAACAACAAAAGTATAATGTTGATCCAGCATTTCGTATTTTGCATATGTTATTGTTGGTTTAGATCTTTCAACTGGCCTTGAATTTCATTGTATCTTTAGTTTCAAATGGTGCATTTGAAGATGGCGATGAAAAGTTAGAAGAGCTCTCCAAGTGGTATGATGCTTCTTAATTTTTGTTGGACACTTATATTTGTGGAAGAAATCATAAGATCCCCTGTTTGCGCTCTAGTCTCTATTTTGTTACAACCAACGCCACACGCTGTTCTGCTGAAAGTACTCAATTATTGTTCTCATGCTTTGCAGGACGAAAAGAATGTCCATAGAAATTGGTCCGAGCAGCTTTGCTTCAAGGAAGAAGAAGCGTAAGAAGAGCACGACATGATCTGCCAAGCGACTTATTTGCAATTTACGAGATTAAAGACTTGAAGAAAGAACTGTGATAAAGATTAATTGTTCCTAGCAATTTTTGAATTTGTTGCTTAGCTGTGATTTCCTTTTTGAAGGTTGTATTTTTTCTTCTAGTGATGTTCCAAGACCAAAACATTTTTGTTCAGTGTAAATTAATCAAGATTTTGCCCATGAATATTGAATTGATTGATGTTTTACCAACTGAACAGGGTTATGTGTTAATGGATTATCTCATTTGTTTTGTTGAGGCTCGGAGTTATCAAAATCAACCTTTCGATCACCTGCCCTGCAAAATTTGTACATTTTGAAGTTCGATGTTTGTATGGCATTTTGTTGAGTGAGGGGTGCAACGGATAAAGAGAGAAATAATAAAATTAATTAAAATTAAAATTAATTTTTGGAGCAAAAAAAATTAAAATATTTTAGTTCAAAATATAGTCCGGCACTGCACCAAACGTTTCATTATTCTTATTTTGCTTAGTCCAAGCCAAGTTAGTCTAGCTTAGTTCCTAAAGCGTCTAAAATAATTGGGTGCAACAAATGTACTAAGTTTCTAATACCCGGATTACTCTTTTCTCATTAGGATTTATAAAATATAATAATTTCACATGAAACAACGTAGTGGGACTGTGGGTAGTTATGTTTATTATTTTTCAAATTATATTTTAATAAAAACAATAATATTTAAAATAATTAAAATTAAAAAAAAATAATAAAAGAACCAATTGTCACACTTGCGTGTGTTAATAGGCTAGTGATATTATAATATGAGTAGGTGATTGGGTTAATATGTTCGGGGCAAGAAATTTTTCAATGTACCAAGAACACGGTCTGGTACATCAAGTGTTATAATATAAATGATTGAATTTTATTTTTTAAGTATCCAACCACTTGTTATTATGACGCTTGAAATTTTTTTTGTTATGCATGTAGAGTATCAAGGTTCTTAGAGGCACTAAGCACTAGTCGGGCGACGGGTAGGGGCCTAGGCGGTTTTGTAATTTTAATTAAATTTATTATATAACATATAAATAAATGTCTCCTTATACTTAATATAAATAAATAATTGTATTGAGATACATTAATTGCGAAATAAAATAAGATATAGATTATATAGTATTATAGCATATTGAAAATATAGGGAACAAACATATAATGAGAGTTCATCCAAGTATTCAATAAGTTTCTTACAATTTGTTGAAAAAATAAAATGCAAGATGAAAGTTATCTATTTTCTGTCTAACTACGACCTAGGCGGGCGCTTAATTTTTAAACGTCTATGGATTAATTGAGTCGGTGACCAGGAACATTTTTTTAGAATAACAAGCATTTTTTTTTCTTTTTCTTAATCCACTTACATGTATGTAAAGGCTAAAAAGATGCTGAAAGAAAGCAATTCAAGGCCTTGAAGCAAGGATCATCTCCCTCCTCTGCTTGTAAAACACAAACATTTTATCAGGATGGAGGCTCTTTTTGATAGCTGGGTTTTCCCTAAATTTGTTAATCCAATTACACAAGCGAGGGAACTCAGTGGCATGCAGTACTTTGACACCAACAACTTGTTCAATCACTCCAAAAGAGGAGGCTATAAATCCCAACGCCAAGTCAGCCAACCCTATTTCATTGCCACCAAAGAAGTCATCCTCTCCCAGAGCTTGCTCTTCCAAGATCTTGAATACATCTCTGATTTCTTTTGCAGCCTTCTCATGTTCTTCCCCATCAGCCATAAATTTAAGATATGGTAACCCCTGCTTGATCACACAAATTGAAATGTTCATTTGATTCATAATGGCCGAAAAAGGCCGAAACCCTAAAATCTACAAAAGTAATACATGTTATGTTTGTCAGACTGTGAATTCGGTTAACAATATTATAGATATGACACTGTACAACATATACAATCACCTTTTCGTCTATAAACTTTGTCCAGAACCGCGCCAACGCTCTCTCATGAGGGTCATCTGAAAGGAGGGGATTCTGGGGCCAAGTCTCCTCAATGTACTCGAGGATTACAGCGGACTCGGTGATTGGTTTCCCATTGTGAACGAGTACCGGAATCTTTTTGTGAACTGGGTTGTAATGCAAAAGCAAATCACTCTTGTTAACCAAATTCTCTTCTATGTATTCATACTTCACACCCTTGAGCTCTAGAGCCCATATCACTCTGAAATTATATGGACTAGGCCAAGCTCCAAGCACTTTCACTTCTTCCATTTCTTGTTGAGTTGTATAAGTTCTTTAAATCGCCGAGTCCTGGATTCCTTATATACTGATTCTATGAATAAAGCTTTGAAATTTCCTTTTGAATATTCACCCGGATGTTACATTGTTTCTTTTGAAAAATATTAAAAAAAAAGTATTTTAAAGATTTGACTTAATTTGGTCTACGTTTCTCTGTTTTGTGAACAAAAGTTTGATTTGATATAATTCCTATTTTTTTTTTATATCTTATAAAAACCTCCTTAATTACTGAGAAAAATAGAGTACTAAAGCGCTTCTTTGTAAATGCGCGAAACTAATTTTTCTGTGCACCCATAAGCCATAAGCCATAAATATGAGGGTGAAGATTATACACATATTTGGAAAATGAAGAAGAAGAATAGTTTCTGCAGCTGTGAAAGAAGATTAAGGAGAAATTTAGAAGAAAAGAAAACGATGGAGAAAACAGATGAAAAAAAATATTTTTTTTTGGTAATGGTAGGCATCCATTTCCTATCATGAAGGTTCTTTGTTTTGTGTTTATTTTATTATTGGTTTAGTTTGGTTTTGAGTTTGAGGAAAAGAAAAAGAAAAAAAATGATAAAAAAGAGAGCTGAGAAAAAAGAAAAAGAATGAGATTTGTTTTTTGGGCTTTCGAAACGGTTTGTGTTTGTTTCAACATGCAAAAAATTTATTTGAGCCTTCGAAAAGATTCGAGTTAATTCGACTTTCACCATGTTAAGAGCTTTTGTTAGATTTTTGAAAATATTGGTGTTTGTTCTAGTTGGGAGTTGTAAAAGAAGTATAGGTGAATTGTGATTTGTTGAACTTTCAAAAAAAATAGTGTTAATTTTAATATATTAATATAGATTTCTTACAAGTGTGGCTCACTTAATGCGTAATTCCACATAAGAGGGTTGAAATTACCAAGTTTCAAATCAAATTTGAGTTGGCAAACTCATTTCTTGGTTTCCTTTTGACTAGATGAGAATGAGAAGACCTTTCAAAGTAATTTTGATTGTTCATTTTTCTCTGCCAAGTATAACTCCAATTTTCGATTATGTACACGAATTTCTAATTTTATTTTTCAGACAGGCTAACAAATTAATGGTAAAAGAGTCAAAAGTCTTTGAGTGAAATGAAATGATATAAATATTTAGAAAGATATTTTAATTACAACGGGCTATAATGCACTCACAGTGGAGGTCCGCTGCTATATATATATGTATACGAGGTTAACCACAACTAAATGTCGAACATAAGATAATTCCTTTAACTAAGGGAAGACAAACAGATAGAAAGAATCCATTTGATAATTATTTTTATTTTCATTTTTATTAAACTGAGCCTTGCAGACTTCAACTTTTGTTGCATGTTTTCAATCAGTTGGTGAAGAGCATGAGAAGGCTAAACAAGAAACCCAAGTAGTGTTCAAAACAATAGAACATGGACTTGGGGATAAGAAATTTTTTGGAGGGAGACAATTGGTTTGGCAGACTTGGCATTTGGGATGGATAGCTGGTTGGCGAGGAGCTACAGAAGAATCAGCTGGTTTAAAGTTACTAGAACCAAATATATTTCCTCACTTGCAAACTTGGATAAGCAGTTCGAAAGATGTCCCTGTGGTCAAGGAGAACCTTCACTACAAAAAAAGTAGTCATTACCGATGAAGATTTCCGAGGGTCCCAAAAAACCGTTGTAAAAAGCACATTTTACGACCATAAAATATGGGTCGTTGCTAACATGACATGAAACAAATTTTTATTACCAACGCCCATAATGTCCTTGGAAAAAATCTCAATTTCGTCGGAATGCACTTTTGTTTGGCAGGAAGAATTGGCGATAGTTGTATTACCGACGAGTAAAGTTCTTATCGGAAACAAAATGGTTATTTCCGAAGGTTTACTCATGTTGACGAAATTGATTTAGTATTTTCGAGGGAAAAAAATCCTCTCAGTAATGTTTTTATATTTTGGAGGGAAAAAAAGTCCTCTCAGTAATGCTTTTGTATTTTCGAGGGTGATTAGTTGTTGTCGGAAGTAATCATATTTTTTATGACAAATTTTTTTCTTTGTCAGAATAAATTTTTAAGGTATATGATTTTGTTGGAATCAATTATTTACCAATGGTCACATGTGTCATTGGAATATTCTTGAACAAGTTTGATGCTTAATTTAAATTTTACAATAAATAGATCATATAACTTAGAATACATATGAAAAAAATACACAAAACCGTATTAAAATAGTATTATCCATTAGTGCAAATTGTTGGCTTATTTCAAAGGGAACTTTAACGAAAAGCTCCCAGTACTGTTCACTTTAACGAAAAACCACATTTTTACACTAAAAAGTCAATCTTGGTACTATTCACTTTACCCTTTATTTTGTCCTTATCATTAAAACTTAAAGTTTTCAAGCCATTTTCATTAGTTTTCCTTATTTCAAACCCCTAAGAGAGAAGTTCATTGCATCAGCAATATCATAGACTAGTCTTTAAATTGAATTTGGCAACCGTTCGACGTGGACATACACATCAGCTCAGACAACGCATCATCAATAGTCAAGAGTCGCTCATGAACGTTAGCTAAAGCATACTTTTGAAATATACAATGCAATGCTTTTCCTTTTTAAGTGTTATTAGGAGAAAAGTATATGAATGCATGTGGTCAGCATTTCCAAAGAGGGCACGACAGCCTTTAAAGAATACAACAACAACAACAACAACAAAGCCTTTTCCCACTAAGTGGGGTCGGCTATATGAATCCTAGAACGCCATTGCGCTCGGTTTTGTGTCATGTCCTCCGTTAGATCCAAGTACTCTAAGTCTTTTCTTAGACTCTCTTCCAAAGTTGTCCTAGGTCTTCCTCTACCCCTTCGGCCCTGAACCTCTGTCCCGTAGTCACATCTTCGAACCGGAGCGTCAGTCGGCCTTCTTTGCACATGTTCAAAATCACCGGAGCCGATTTTCTCTCATATTTCCTACAATTTCGGCTACTCCTACTTTACCTCGGATATCCTCATTCCCAATCTTATCCTTTCGCGTGTGCCCACACATCCCACGAAACATCCTCATCTCCGCTACACCCATTTTGTGTACGTGTTGATGCTTCACCACCCAACATTCTGTGCCATACAACATCGCTAGCCTTATTGCCGTCCTATAAAATTTTCCCTTGAGCTTCAGTGGCCTACGACGGTCACACAACACGCCGGATGCACTCTTTCCATCCAGCTCGTATTCTATGGTTGAGATCTCCATCTAATTCTCCGTTCTCTTGCAAGATAGATCCTAGGTAGCGAAAACGATCGCTTTTTGTGATCTTCGCTAGATTGCTCCAGTCATTAGTGTGGATAAGTATATAAATGGATAGAGATAGGAAAGCAAACACAAGATGTACGTGGTTCACCCAGATTGGCTACGTCCACGGAATAGAAGAGTTCTCATTAATTGTGAAGGGTTTACACAAGTACATAGGTTCAAGCTCTCATTTAGTGAGTACAAGTGAATGATTTAGTACAAATGACATTAGGAAATATTATGGGAGAATGATCTCGTAATCACGAAACTTATAAGTATCGGAGTGTGGTGTCGTCTTGACTTGCCTTATCTGTCTCATAGGTAGATGTGGCATCTTCTCTGGAAGTACTCTTCCTCCATCCAGGGGTGGTATCTTTAACTGGTGGATATGCACAAGGTAATGTATCAATTTCACTTGAAGCTTACTTGTAGTTTCAGGCTTGGTCAAGCGCGATACAAACCATGTAGTAGGAGTCCCCCAAGTCGCCAAGCTAGGGGGTTTGCTGAAAGAGGTGACAGACCAGGTAAGCAATCAGAGCTCCGACTGATTGTTCACCTTCTCCCCATCTTGCAGCAGCATGAAGGATAAAGAGAAGAAAAATGAGAAGAGATGATATGAGATACTTTTGCTTTTGAAGAAGTAACTTTCCACAGGCTTATTCTTGAACTGAGCTGGAGGGTTTTCTAGTTTCCTCCAGAGTATAAGGCCGACTGAAGAATTTGAGGGTCAAAACAAGTCCATCAAATCTAGAGTACGTTCCACCCTGCTGATATGGGATACTTTTGCTTTTGACAGAGTAATGAATGTATCGGCACGTGTGCTGTTACGCTTGTCTCCACATGCTTCCTTGTATCCTTCGCACTTGCCCTATCTGTTCCTCAAGCAGATGCGGAATCTTCCCTGGAAACATAAGATGTTGAAGATGAGTACTCGAGAGCAATGCCAGGTAAGTAATCAGGTAAGGGGTTCCAGGCAGTCAGTTCCTGGCTGGAAGCTTGATTCCAAGTGCTGACTGATTGCTCTCTTTCTCCTTGTCTTGCAGGTAAAAACAAGGCCAAAAGAAAAGACAGGGAAAAAGCATGATATGGGATACTCTTGCTTTTAACCCTGATGATATGAGATATTCTTGCTCTAGTATAGCTTGTTTGCAGAGGTATTATCGGGGGGAAAGAAAGCTGAATATTTCGAAAGGCTTCGTTGGGAGTGCCCTCTCAGATATGATGAAGGGTTGAGCATTTTTGCAAGTCTGCCTGTCCGTTGGGGATGGAGGTCGACATATATAGGAGTCTCCCCTAACAACAAGTAGTAATGCTATTCCTTTACCCTGCTTGGTCATAGCACGGTAGTGGGAGCTGCCAGTTTCACATGTTTTAACTCTGTCAGAGCACTTTGAAAAAGTGGTCTGTGGTATCTGGCTCTCGAGATTCGGAAAACGATGCCTCTTCGATTTTTGAGAAAGCAATCATGCTGGGGGTATGACTCTCGAGATTCGGAGAGCAGTGTCTCTTCGATTTTTGAGGAAGTAATCATGTTGGGAGTCTGGCTCTCGAGATTCGGAGGGCGGTGCCTCTTCGATTTTGGAGCAAGCAATCTTGTTGGGAGTGTTGTCTCGAATGTGAGTAAAGGTTGGGCATGTTTGCTAGTCTACCTTGCCACGAAGCACAAAGGTTGACACACAGGGACTTTCCAATTATCCAGCAATGGTACTGTTCCTTTACCCTCTCTTCGATTTTGAGAAAGTAGTCA